AAAAATTAAATAAAATAAATAAAAAAATTAGCTTAATGAATTTAATATAATCAATAGTATAAATTAATATTATTTATAATTTTGATTATGTCTAATTATCGCTATAATTGAAGAATTATTATCTAAAATTAATTTATTATATGAATTACATTTTAAATATCAATACAGTGAGACATCTCTAAATGCACCCCTAGTGAAAATTTGAAAAAAATGTGCATTTAAGGAGTGTGTATATTTAAAGAGAGAAATATTGTATGATTTTTATATACTTGGGGCTGTGTGAAATGTGCATTTATAGAAAAAAATATATATGCGTGCATTTAGGAAGGGTGTATTTAGAGATAATTATATAATTATAAAATGATAATTTATTTTAATATATTTTAATGAATTATTATAAATAAAATTTAATAACATAAATTTACTTTAAAAATATTAAAATACATTATTATCAAGAATTATATAATGGTAATTAGTAGAAAGTAATTCAAAAAAATTTACCATTTGAAGCAAAACTTTTATTAATTATTATATAGTTTGATATAAGCATATGTGATAATTTAGAAAGAATATTGTTATTCTATTTATATAACTTTTAGTAATCTTCCACTTTTTATTAAAAACAAACCAAAACCAAAAGCTTTACTTGACTATTTATTATAAAAACATATAATGAAAGTGAAAAAAATTCTGATACTTATTGAAAAGTTAATCAAAAATCTTTTATCAAGCTTAGAATCAAGTTATAAATACTTTATTAGATCAATATAATTCTGAAATTAAATTATTAATTAATAAAAGATGATAATTATTTGTTATAAAACTTTTACTTAATATTGCTGATTAGTTAGAAGCAGTTAAATTATATTTAACTTATAAATTTAATAATAATATATATTCTTAATAATGAAATATTTAAGATATATTAATAGATTTTATAATCAATTGTGTTTTTTTATAGATGCTGATTCAGCTATTAATGTAGTTATACCCATTTAATTTCAGATAGATATTATGCATATTATATATATCATATTAGTCAGAATTTTCCAAGTAAAATTAGAATGATGATATAAAGATTTTATCAAAAATTTTATAAGTGCTATAATAGCCTTTATAAACTCTTGCTTTTTTTCGATAGAATAATCTTATAGAAACTTTCCTATTAGCTAAAGATTATCTTCTTAGAGTATTATAACTAATAAAAAAATCATAAGTATGCTGCTATTTATAATAAATATTTATAGCTAGAAATGAAATTACTTTATAGTTTAAAGAAATAAATGAAATTATAAAACAAATAATACAACTTTATGTAAATTAGCTAAAAGTTTATCTATTATAGAAATTTAATAGAAAAGATTTTACCAATATCAATTAGGTATTACTAATTCTATTTTACTATCAATAGTATATAAACTTTTTCCTTTAATATTTAAAATATTAGATAAGCATATATCTGTAAATATATTAACTATGATTAAAGAAAAAATAAGACAATATTTGTATTTTCAAGTAATTATGATTTTTTTATTTAAAATAATTAATCAAGTAAGTTATGATATTATATTTTTTTACAAATTAATATTTAATTAAGATTTAGCTATTATAGAATACGAAATAATTTTTTTATAAATTAATATTTAATTAGGATTAGTTTAGCTATTACAGGGCTAAAACTTTTTTTATAATTAATATTTAAATTAGAATTAGTTTAGCTATTATAGAATACGAAATATTTTTTTATAAATTAATGTTTAATTAGGATTAGTTTAGCTATTACAGGACTAAACAATTTTTTTATAATTAATATTTAAATTAGGATTAGTTTAGCTATTACAAAGATAAAACATTTTTTTTTATAAATTAACATCTAAACTAAGAAGGTTTTATTAAAAAAAATATTATTATTTATTTTAATTAATTTTATTATTAGGATTTAAAAGAATATAATAATAGTTTTATTGAAGACAACTAACTATAAAGCAAGATAAATTACTTTATAATCAATTATTGATAAAATTGATAAAATGATATTAAAGAAATCTGAAAAATTAGTAATATATAATCAGAAAAAAATAATCTTTATTATGTTATGATTTTAAATGAAATTTAATTTTTATGTTCATATTTAAATATATTGTCAAAAGGTATTTTTTGCTATTATTATTTTTATGTAATAATATCTTTTAAAATTGCAGGATTTTATATTTTAATGATATAAAAAAAATAGTATAAAGATGTTTATCAAAGTAAAATTCTATTACAGAATATAGCTTAATATATATATATAAAAAAGAAAATGATAAAGAAAATTATTGAAAAAAGATTAAAATATGGAAAGTTTTAGATGAAGTTACTTTATTGATATTGGAATCTAATGATCATGAAATGGAACTTCTATTACAAGTTTATATTATTAATAAAAAAGAACTGAATGGATTGATTTCATCAAATATTAAAGAAGATATTGAAAATCAAATGAATTCTAAAAAATCTTTACAACTGATTAATAAAGCAAATATAATAGATTCAACTATTTTAATTAATGAAAGATTTAAATTTCAAGAAATTAAAAATGTTTAAAATCTACAAAGAATTAAAACTAAAGGTAGACCTTTAATAAAACAATATAAGAGTAGTGTGAAAATTAGAAAAAAAAGATAATATTTCAAAAAAAGGATTTTTAATTCATAATACTTATAAGTGTTATATATGTAATCAGCCTACTTATAATACAATTTATCATAAAAAATGATAAACTTAAAGAAATTAAAGAAAGTGAACTTATTCAATAGTAGTTCAAAATGTTGTTTTTAAAATTTTAATAAGTAATATATTATATATATATATATTTTTTATTAATGTTATATATAATGATATCACATCTCTAAAGTGATATTAAAAAAATTGCAGAAGGTAGAATATAAAATTTTCCTTAAAGATAATTTTTTTATTAAAAAAATTTTAATAAATTATAAATCTAAATTTCCAAGATAAATTTTGCTAAAATATATTAATAAAAATATATATTTGAATTTTAAAAATAATTTTTTTAAGAATATATTAGTAAAATATATTTTAAATTAAATCAAGTTAATATGATTTTTTAAGAAAAAAATTTATAATGATAGATTATTTAAACAATTTTTGTAAAGAATTAATGACATTAAAAATGATAAATAGTAATTAATGCTAAAGAAATTATACTAAAAACCTTTTTGTAAAATTAAATGAATTTTATAGTTGTGATAGTTCTAATAAAAAGTTGTTAAATATCAAGTTATTATTATGGATCAGATTTATTGCATTTTATTTTCAGGTTTTGTAAAGGAACCCTAAAAATTCATTAATGAAGCTTTATATATAAATATTAACCTGGTAAATTCGGAGAGAAGTTATTATAGTTTGTGTTACTATTTTCTATATATAAAAATTATCGAGCCGAAAAATTATTTGGCGCATTAATTTCATTTCTCTTTTCATATTTTTTAATAAAACAGTAATACATATATTTAATTATTGAAAAAAAAGCTGATATGTTATCTTTTCTTTTCTTTTATTTCATAAACAACTCTCCTTTTATTACGTCAAAATTTATTAATTACATGCAAAAAAAAAAAAAAGAAGATTGAAATAACTTTAAGAATAAAGATTATACATATAAAGAATAAAATATCGAAGATATCAAGGAGCTAACGCAACAAAAGAAAAAGTCACTTTAATTTTTTTTTTTATATATATCATTTTTTTTTTTAATACGATCATATTTCGTATTTTTTTTTTTCTCTCAATTAACCCATAATAAAACAAAAAAAAAAGAGGAAAAATAAATCCGATAACACCAACACATTACTTATTATGAGATAGTTACCTAAACGCAAAGTTATCCCAGATTCTTGGTTTATTGAACAATCACTCAGAGATAGATTATCAAAGGCAGATAGATAAAAATATACCTAATAATAAAATCGAATAGGAATATACTATAAAATAGTTCCTAATGATCACGTCCTTGCCAGTATTTTTTCTCCCTTAAAACTCAAAATCACCATTGCCTTTCTGGAAGAGGTAATCACGTCCATTCACTGACATGATACCATCTTTCAATTGGCACTTCCATTTATTCTTTGTACGAGTAACCTAAAAAGATGTTGCGATATTTTAAGTATTGAAAGATTTTTACAAAGAATAAATGTAACATAATCACGGGATTTTCGTCGACATTATCTTTTTAATATTCATTACATCACGACGACATCGTCTCAATATCATATTGATACTTTTATTTATTTTTACCTTGTCATATAAACATAAAATAATATTTTGTGTTTCTTCACCCTCGGCATTGGTTTCTTCATCTGAATCATCAAGATCAGAATTAATATCATCATTTTCCGCATACAATGGTCGACTGAACTCTGGGAGGTGTTGCGGAGTCGGATGACTTATAATGTTATTATTAACGTTACGAGGAATGAGCTTATCGAGATTTTGATTTTCCTTTGCATGTGAATAAATGTAGATGATTCTAATAAAAAATCTGGTGAATTTAAAATGTCATTAACTTGATAAACGTTTCACATACCTGTAAACCCTTCGAATGTGGGCCTTGAAGGTACATAAACTTCTGATCTAAAACTTTATTTGATGACGCGTATGCTACTAATATTAGTATAAGATTACAGATAATTAGCGAATAACATTATAATTACCATCAGCTTGAATGTTTAAAGGAATCGCTGAGCTGCTTCTATTCGAAATATCGGGTGAAGCAGATGATGGAGGAGCCAGTGATGCATGTACCAGAGATGTATTAACATTAACATTTTTGATAGGCTATTTTAGTGATAAATTTTATTTGACGATTCACTAACGAATAACTAACGAATAACAGTAAAATAAATAAAGAAAATATCAAAGAAATTAAAACATACATTATGTGGAGGCCTGCCTACACTATTAAGATCGGAATGAGTATTTAAAACCGCACGGCTTGGAAGACTTGCGACTGGTACTTCCCCAGGTTGATACTATATTGAAAAGGGTTGAAATGATTTTAAAGTCCAAAATTTGGATATAAATACATTAAATAACGAATTTACCTTTTGATTGGAATCAGATTGAGGTGGCTGCTGATGATGACCAATATTTGTAGCATCATTATTTTGATTGTTGTCTTCATTTAATAAACCATTGTCCCATTGTGCAACCTTTGCGCTTTTAATCTTTTTCTCCCATATCTAGACGAAATGGGTAATGATAATTAATCTAATTAAAACAAATGGACGTAATATTTCTTATAACATTAATTAGGATATAAATGGTGGAAGGAATTATAATACTAACGCGCTCTAGGTCCTTTAATACTGATTCATCGACACCATTATCTTCAAAGTCTTTTTTCACATTATCAATAACATCCCTTATTACGCTATTGTACACAGTAGGCTATAGAGAACAATAGATTAAATATATTAACGCGAGCCCATATAATTTCTTTTAAACTTGAAAAAAAAGTTACGCGACTTATAAGAGAGCCAAATTTCAAGTGTTTAATGGTTCTAAAGTGAAATAAAGTAATACATACCACAATATTGTTAGACATTATGCTCTAAAATAAAACATACAATAGGGGGTATAATATTTTAAAATCTAAAAAGAGTATTTTAATATAATGGTTTAAAAGTATCTTCACGCGAATAGTAAATTCAATATATATATATAAAAAAAAAAAAAAAAAAAGTTCGAGTTTTTTGGAGTTTATATAGGGGTTTCCAAACTTTCAATCTTTTTATATCAGTAGAGGCCTATTTATACCCTTTGATGCAAGAGGATGGAAGAGAAAAGGGACTGATGAAAAAAAAAGAGGGTGACCTTTTTTACAACAAGTAAATTCAGTGTGCATTGATGTTGTTGCACAGTCACACAGTAACACATACATGGCATTGATTAACTATCAATTGGTCACCAATTTTTTCCAGAATTTCCTGTTTATAATACAAAAATATATCCACCGATGACGTAAGTCATAATAAAAAAAATATAAATATGGCATAAAATGAAAATCATGGTATAAATAATATACATAAATACCTTCGATGGGTTACGCGAGTTTAGATGCATCGCTTTCGTTTCCTGATGATAATCTTCCACCGAATAAAAGATCTATCTTAATAACAGATACTCTTTCAGCTTCAGGAAATTTTCTCATTCACCATTTCATCGTTAATCAAGTAAAATCCGATAAACATGTAGTACTAGTTGGCCTTTCTCAAATTTTTAATCATTATTTAACAATTGGGCGTAAATTGGTATAATTTTTTTTTTTACCTTTTATTTATTTATTTAGGAATTTATATATATAAATAATTATCCTTTATATAAAATAGGGAGTAAATTTAACTCTCGCCACTCAAAAAGGCTTACTGTCTTTCATAGATGGATTAACTTCATTATATTCACAAACAGATGGTTTTTCAAAATCTACTTCTACAACGATAACGATACCAACAGCCGTATTAACTTGTACAGCTAGTTCAATTTCAAATTCGCAAACTTCAAAAGAAATATTACAAAACTTTTATAAAGTGATTAAACAAACGATTGTAGCTCGTCATTCGTCGATTGATGATTCACGCGTATGCTTGATTTTTGATGATTTATCAATCTTGTTATATGCAGGATTTAATGTGAGGGATATATTAGAATTCGTTAAAGCTTGTCGCATGTTGATCGAAAAGGTAACGATAAATCGGTACCGGTAAACCATTTAAATAAATTGTTTGTTATTTCATTCCTTTCCTTTTTTTTATAGTATAATGGATCCTTAATAATTTTGATTCACGCGGATGAGGATGTATCACCATCTTCATTTGATGATGAGTTGGATCAAGAGATTTTTTTAAAATTATTGATATATCAATCGGAATATTTATTATCAGTTCGTGGATTAGGATCCGGGTTTTCAAGAGATGTATCAGGCGAAGTAGGTACAATGATAATCATCAAATTTCTTTACGACTCGTAGACGTTATTGATAAAAAAGAACTATTTTTTCTCTCTTTATCCAAGATTACAATGGCTCGTGGACCAAAAAATCAGGATAAATGGTTTAGACCTTCAACATTACATTATAAAGTATTAGATAATAATGTTCAATTTTTTGCAAAAGGATTTTCACAGGGTGTACTGTGAAAATCATAATTAATTGTATAGTGGAATCGGCTCTCGAACAAAATAATAATATAATTAATAAATGCAGTTATATACATCTTGATTATAAATAATGTATTGAAATTGATGAAAATGTAAAATGTTCTTGAATGATAAATAATGATTTAAATTAATTAACTATGCCCAAGCCCTTTCCTTTCCCTTAGAATCTTTAGCTAGAATAATGAAATCTTCAATTACATCTTCTATAAGTTAAGAAGGAGGAAAATTATTACTATTATTGTTTTTATTATTTTTTTTTTTTTGTTTTTAAAAAAAACAAAGATAGGAATAATAAAACATACCCAAGCCTATATCAGAGATGGCAAAACTTGATTGTCCTGTTTCTAAGTTGGAAAAGAGACGAATAAGAAATAAATTTCTTTAATAAAAAAAAAAAATTGAAATCATTTGATATACAAAATAATTTTACCTTCACCAAAATCGTCAGATGTGGAAGTATTACCGGCTGTAAAGGAATTATTAGAATTAGAAGAAATGGATAATCTATTAAAGGAAAAATCCAATACCCTGCTAGTATAATAAGCTTCAGGATGGATATTTGTCGTTAATAACTCTTCCTTTTTTGATTGAAATTTCTTTTTCATGACACCTCTCAGACTACCAACTCTAATAACGTTCTTATTCGTTTTAACAACTTTTTTCGTAATTTTTTGGGAAATCATCGATAATTTATTTTTAGTATTGGAACATTCTTGATGTTGGACAACTTTCATGGTTTGCTCACTATATTTTAAATATAATTGATTCATATCCAAAATACGAATGATTTCAATCGCATTCGGTCTTAATGACGGATCATCATCCCAACATCTTTCCATTAAATCAAAATAAAATTCTGGAGTTGTGGGTAAAGGATCAGGACGTGCTCCTTCACATATATCTAAAGCTAATTCCAAATTATGAGCTCTATCAAAATATGGTAAAGAAAATGTTGATAATTCCCACATGATCATACCGAAATTATAAATATCACTCGCTTGTGATTTTTTCTCGCCTCTTAAAATTTCTGGAGCAATATAAGGTAAAACACCATGTATTAAATAATTATTGTTATAATTGTAAGATGACGAAGAAGGTTGTAAATACTTTTGAGAATTTTTTAAAACATTAGAAGGTATCCAACATCCTAAATCCCCTATTAAAATGGATTCTTCGGTTTGATTTTTCAATTCAGAACTTGAGTTCTTTAATAAATTACCCGGATGCAAATTACCATGAAATAAATTTTCACCTTGCAAGGATTTTTCATTATGTAAAGATTTAATCACTTCTGCTATAGATTTAAGTATATTTATTTTTTCATTCCATGTTAATAAATCATTATTATTATTATAATATTTTGTAAGAATAAATGTGCGTAAGTCTAATTTATTAGCAAATTGTGTTACTAAAATGTACTCTTTTGTTGTTGGATCTTGTGAAATTCCAAAATATCCAACTAAATTTTCTCGATTTTTACATTGATAATATTTTTTCATCTAGGAAAAAATAAAGAAAAAGTTTTAAATTAAAAAATTTTGTTTTTCTTTTGAAAAGAAAAATAAAAGGGACATTAAGAAATTACTTACATCATTTAAGAAATCTTTGGTGATTTCCTGAGAATCGTGTAATAATTTAAGGGCAACTCTAGTATTTCCTATTCGACACCACTGTTTATTTAAAGGATCAAAATTTCTTTTTGGACCTTCAGTCCAATTAGCTTCAAATACGGTGGAAAACCCTCCTTTGCCAATTTCTTTTATATCAATGAATTGTTCAAATGGTATCCATTCTAAATAAGTTTTAAAATCTGGTGATATTTCTTGTGTATAAATAATAAATTCATCCAATAACTTATTGCCTGTAGTCCATTGCTCTTTACCGGGGAAAGCACAATTGCGACACCATTTATATGAAACAAATGGGGAAGTACAATAAACGCATTTACCGAACCGTGTATTTATATTCGAGTCAGAACTGGAGGCTGTGTTAGTAATGGTGGTAATGGTGGTGGTGGTGACTGTAGGAGGAGAAGGTAAATTTCTGGCTCGAGTTTGAGAGGAGGTTTTCGAAAATGAAGAAAGTTCATGCGAAGAATGTTCAGAGGAAGCAGCAAGATAAGAAGTAGCGCAACCCATTATCTTTTTTATTTATTTATTTTTTTTTTTTTTAAATAAATACTTTCGGTTTAATAATTATCGTGAAAGTTAGAGAAAGAAAAAAAAAGACGAGAAAAAAGAAAAAAAAAATTAAACCAAACCAAAAAAAAAAGAAAAAAAAATGGAAAAAAAAAAAAAACTTGGAAAAAAAAGGAATGTATAAAGATGTAAAATTTGAATGATAAATATATTATAGATAAGAAAGAAAAAAGTGAGACGCGTTAAGAAACAAAATTTTTATATTTATATGGTAATTTTATATGGATATTCAAATGGCAGCAGCTGATTGAACCACTAAAAAAGAATCGAGATACATTTTTGATGTAATAACTACATAATCATGAACCTTGTAACATGCTTATAAAAGTCTAGTAGGTTTATTTAATTGGTACTAGCATAAATTTCAATCGAGAATCGTTAAATTTAGTAATTTGTAACCCAGTCGTGTTGTATTTATATTTCCATATATATAAACTTTTTTTAACGTTTTTCATATTTGGGAAGGTCTATATTAAAAAAAAAATGTTACTATTATTTTTGTAAAAATACAAACCCCGATCATCATCTCGAAAAAAAAAATTTTTTTTTATAATGAATAACGATAATAGTTTTGACTCTATCATTAACGAAAGTGAAACACAACACTTCGTGAATCCTGTACTAGAAAGCGCGTTTTTCATTAATAAGGTGAGACTTTGTTTTTTTTTAAAAAAAAAATGAAATAATGAAAACTTTTTTTTTAAGTTTAGAATTCAAAGGATGTCACCATTCCTCGAAGCAGTATTCAAGAAGCGGCAAATGCGGTAATTTTACAAATTCATTAATAATAATTCGATTTTAAATTCACTTAACTAATCGAATCTATATTTATATCTCTCTTAGATTTATTCAAATATGAAAAAAATGAAATATTCTGTATCGGTATGGAAACAACATGAACTTCATCCAAAAATTGCAAACGAAGCAGCAATTAACTGGTTAATATTCGAATTTTTTTTTTTTGAATTTTCTTCGAGATACTCGAATAAATCTCATCGATTTGTTTATATTATATAGGATCTTTCTCGTTGATCTACTAAACTTTTCTTTTTGGTCTGATTTAGAAAAAGAAAAAGGATCGAATTGTCAAGAAAGATATACCATCCTTTATAAAGATAAACGATATACGGGATATTGGTCCTTATGCGCGGCAATTAATCGAGGTATTTCATGTAAAAATTAATCTTTTCAAAAATTTTCGGTTATTGAGGATAATAAAATTGGATATAAAGCCATTGATGAAGGGATACCAATTACAACACCGTCAGTTTATGCCTCAGCAGAAGATTTAAATGATTATAAAATTAAATATGCCTTTCGTTCTCATACAAACGAAGAAATTCCTTTGCTTCAGGAGCGTATTCATTGTATGAGAAAAGCCGGTAAAATTTTAGTTGAGGTATTATTCATTTCTTTTGAAAACTCTAAACTTTTTAAATCTCTTTTATCTGATTGTTCATTATTACGCTAAAGAAATTCGACGGTAATTTTATTAATTGTATTAAACAATCAAATAATTCTGCCATGAAATTGCTAAAAATAATTACCGATAATTTTGAATGTTTTCGTGACGAATGTGAATTTCTTGGACGTAAAGGTAGGAAGGCAATTACATCGTTAAAAAGAATTGGATAAAAAAGAGATTTAAAGCAAATGGATTTTTTTATTTCTAGTCCAACTTTATAAACGAGCTCAAATATTAATAGCTGATACTTGGTATATATATAAATATATTATTATTTAAATTATGGAATATAAATATTTATACAATATTACGATATAATACTTTTAGGGCTTGTTTTGAAGGACAAGGTTATGGTTATTTTAATGACATTGATGAAATAACAATGTTTGCAGATTATAGGTATGGTATGCTTACTTTATATAATTTATATTATAATATACTTATACTAATTTAAACTTGTTATATATTTAATTTTTATATAAATCCCATTTTAAACGTTAAAGGGTTCCACAAGTATAACAATTTAAATTTCCTTTTTTTTTTTAAAACAAGGGATTTTATATTTATTTATATTGGTTTTCTATTTATTTTAGGCACTCCATCATTTAGGTGCATTGTCATATTCTCAGAATTTACTCAATAAGATAAACTCTTTCACATTATTACCAAATGGTTCACAATTAGAAATTGAGATTAGAGGTAATTTAAATTATGTAATGTTAATCATCCACATAAAGCCAATTAATTATTCTTAATAAATAGGATGTTCAATATGGTCGGTAGAATTATTAAAAAGAATCATCCAACGAAAAATTCAACAGGAAAATTCGAAAGGGTTGATTCCAATAGTTAATACTATTATTTTAGATTTTTATATATGGGATTTTGCTAATGAACATAAACATTCGATTGAAATTGGTATACATAGAACAAGAAGTATTTTTTACTAATTGTAGATTTCGAATTCTGAAAATGAAAAATTGATATTTTTTAATTTTGTAAAAAATTTATAATGAAAGAAAATACTTTTTAGATTATACTTATCCTATATATATACACATATATATATATATACATAAATATAATTTTTTTTTTTTTTTTGAATTTCACTTAATTATTTACTACTATCCTATACTCTTCTGAAAATAAATATGATTTTTTTTTTTTTTTTTTTGATCTCTATTAATTTACAAACAAATAAAACATGGGAAAAAGAAAAAAAAAATTTACAACTTTTGTTTATTTGTTTGTATGCAAAAGAAAATATCAACTAAGGAAAAAAAAACTATATAAAACCAAAATATACAGTATTGACGAAGTTTATTTCGTCAAAAAAAAAAAAAAAAAAAAAACCCGCCGAAAAAAAAAATGAATAAATGAAAATAATCCAAGAAAATACGTTAATATGCAATGTTTTTTGGGGGAAATTCTTTGCCTAATCAATCTACTATAAAAAAATCTCGTGGTTTATTAAGACAAGGTCCAATAAAAGTTCATTCCTCATCTTTTTGTGATTGTAAATATGCTTCCATCTCCCTAGCATATCTTGCTTTGTCATCAGTAGCCTTTTTCTCCCATGGTGCTCTCAGTTCGGGTGTTAAAGCCTTCCAATGACTTGCAATAATTTTACTTATAGGACCAACCGTACTTCCAGGATTTTGTTCTGCAACATGTGGTCTCATCTCTAATGCATAGAATAAAAATCCTGACATTGGATGCTTTGGCGCAGTTGGATGTCGGCTTCGTTTCTTTTTACGTCCTCGAGGATCTTTGGGCGGAGCACCAGTTGCTGGACCCTCGTGATGATTTCCGTGTGGAGCACGTGGTGGATGATCTCCTCCTTCATCTGATTCTTCACCGCTTGCATCTTGTCCAAAAGGTCGTTTCTTGGAATAACTATGATGACCTGCTGCCGCTAGTTCAGCTTTTGATCGGCGCGTATACACAAAGTCTGGATTTGATTCGTGAAATTCATTCTTCAAATTTCGAGCTTTCTGAAGATAAACCTCCCTTTGCTCCTACAAATTATACAAGTTACGATAAATTTTCTGTCACCTAAAAGGTAAGACTGGTCAAAAAAACTGATGACTTACATCAGACATTCCACGCCAACTTTCACCAATTGTTTTTGAAATTTCAGCCACCGACATATTAGGATTCGTTTCTAATACTCTTGGGCGCATTTCTTTATTAAAGATCAAGAAAGCGTTCATTGGTCTCCTTAATTTGCGATTTCTGATAGGGATTGTAGACATTGTAGTCCTTGGAGGATTTGATGGAGCTGGCGGTTGTGGCTAAAATTTTTGATAATGAAACGAATGTAAACAAATTATAAACGAATCAACGGAACAATTATATATGAATAGTAATCTATTAACCTGTTGTTGTTTGTTAATATTATTGAGTGAACTTCGTTGAGTATTTGTGTTCGTTGCCGTCGAAGTAGGTGTTACATTACTATGAGGGGATGAATAAACGTTGCTTGGATGATGAGGAGGAACACCACCATTGATTGGACCATTGGACTAAAATAGTAAAAATAAGATAAATATATGCACGAAAAAAAGCTTTCAAAATGAACAATTTTATCAATTTACGTACTATTGTAACGTTGGTAGATTGAGGCGGTACCGCTATAGGAGCGGTTGGAGATTTTGTATTTGTGGTGGTAGTGGTAGAGGTGGTGGGAATGTTCGTGGAGGTGGGGGTGGTCACGGTAGTTGCGGAAGGGGTAACAGAGACAGCGGTGGGAGTAGGTGGAATCGAAGGTGTTGAAGCCTTCTTCTTTGTAGTAGTTGATGTTCCGCGACGAGTATAAACAAACCCAGGATTTGACTGCCTAAACTCCTCCTTGAGGACTCTTGCCTTTTCATTATAATGTTCTTTACGTGACTATAAATTAGCAAATTCAAATTTATTAATTAGTAAGGATGAAAAAGTATAAATATATATTTCACTCGGTTTAATTCTAATGCATACATTATCCATCTTTTTCCATTCCTCTCCCAAAATTTTGCTAACTTGAGCGGTTTGCATATTCGGGTCATTCTTTTGTAATTCAGGCCGACGTTCACCCGAAAAGATTATAAATGCATTCATGGGTCGTTTCGGTTTATGATCCTTTTGTGGTGGTATAACGGCAGGTGCAACATTAGAAGCAGTACTCTTTAGTTCTAGAGGAGCTTGTGACGGTTGTGGTGGCTGAGATTGCGGTTGAGGAGGTGGTTGCTGTTGAGGTGGTTGTTGTGGTGGTAATTGTTGTTGTGGTAGTTGCTGCTGTGGTAATGGTTGTGATATCGAATTATTCTTTTGCAACGGCGTATGTGCAACCATTGGTGAAGGCTTTTGCTTCGAATTTGAAACCATAGTCACTTGGTTTTGTTGGGGAAATGATCCATTCGAACTTTGCTGCTGCTGCTGCTGCTGTTGTTGTTGTTGTTGCTGCTGCTGCTGCTGATGCTGCTGTTGATGCTGTTGTTGTTGATGTTGTTGTTGCTGATGATGTTGTTGCTGATGTTGCTGTTGCTGCTGCTGCTGCTGCTGTTGTTGTTGTTGTTGCTGCTGCTGCTGCTGCTGCTGCTGATGTTGCTGCTGCTGATGTTGCTGACGTTGTTGATGATGTGGATGCTGTTGAGTTGGTGTACCAACTAAAGTTCTTGCCATCTTATTTGGAGGAGCTTGGTGGTGATGATGATGTTGTTGTTGTTTTTGTTGTATCTGTTGCATCTGCTGTATTGAATGTTCAGAGGGCTGTTGTTGCTGTTGATGATGATGCTGCAACGCTTGTTGTGATTGCTGCATTTGCTGCAATTGTTGTTGTTGCTGTTGTTGAGACTGTTGCTGTGGATGATGCAAAGGAGTTGGATGTTGCAACTGTTGCTTTTGCTGCTGCGATTGTTGATGAAGTTGTGATTGGTGGTGCAACTGTTGAGATTGTTGATGCAATTGTTGTTGCTGCTGTTGTTGAGATTGTTGAGATTGTTGAGATTGAGATTGCATCTGTTGTTGCGCTATTACTTGAGCGGGGACACCTGGCTGTACTGTCGGTTTCTGTGTCACAGTCTTGGTTAACCTTGGAGAGGATTTTGCATTCACATTCTGAGTAACAGTATTTTGATTGATGGCGGATCTTTGACTCATTTGATTCGTAGCGAGGTGAGGAGATTGGTTATAGGTTTGATAAGGGCTGCCACGAGACACTTGCTGATGTGATGAATTCTGCTGTAATTGCTGTTGATGTTGAATTTGTTGTTGCTGCTGTTGTTGAGCATTGTTATGTTGCTGCTGTAAATGTTGTTGTTGTTGCGCTTGTTGATTTGCAGAAATGTTACTTTGTTGAGAGGAATAATTTGCACCCATGCCAACGTTTGGAGAGATGTAACTCTCATTATGAGCAGCATAAGGCGATCTCAGAGTTTGTTGCTGATTCGCAGCATACGGCTGCTGTTGTCGTCCGTGCTGATTCATTACGTAACTACCCAACCCATTACTATTATTGTACATCGATCTTTGACTCATTCCCGATATGCTCGACCCAAACACAGCATTTGTATCGGAAGTACGTTTGGAAATCGAACTATTGATTGACGGGGAACCCGTGGTATCCGTTATGCTACTGATAGAAGTATTTGGGGAGGTGGTCGAAGTGGCATAACGGCGGACTTGTTGCTGTTGGGATTGATGACGTTGAGCAACTTGTGTTAGGTGTTGCTGGGTTTGAGCTTGTTGTTGTGGTTGCTGGGAATAACGATTCATGTAAGTTGGTTGATTGGTATTTGGAGATATGGAAGATTGTGATGGTGTAGCAGTGGAAGTTAAAGAAGAATTGGCCACCATGGGAGGATCCATTATACTACTTTCATCTAAATCACCCGTGGCAGGGTCAACGTCCACTCCAAATTGACCGCTCAAACTTGAGCTATCATTAACAGTTATTTGCGTATTTCTTGGGAAACCCAACGAATTCATGTTAATTGATGGCATTGCAAAATTATTCGTCTCCATCCATTGATTTCTACCACTAATAACATTTGATGAGTTTAAAGAATTCGGAGTTGGTAGAGCAAGCATGCTATGTTGTTGTTGAGCTGCGTGGGGTTGAGTCTGCGCCGATGGTGTAGGAGATGTATGAAACTGTGATAAAGAGGTCGACAATGATGGCTGTTGTGGATGTCCTGCCGCTATTTGACGAAGGAAGGTTGACGAAGGAAGGAATGATATGTAAGAATACATTGCAGTAGCATAATAAAAGGATTTTCCGATCAAGATCACGTGGAAAAGTACCAAGATTAATTTTTTTAAAAAAAAAAGATTGAATCAGACATACCGATTGATGATTGATGACCTTGATAATTTGCTTCAGCGCCCAAACGTAAAACATTATTATGCGGTTGTTGTATTGCAGCAGATCCCTGCATCCTTCGTTGTGTATTTGTCTGGTGCGTTTGCTGAGCCTGTTGAGGTTGAGCCGTGGCATCGAATATACCGGAGTTCGTTGGTTGAAAGTTATTACTATTTGCGATATTATTCGGATATAAACTGCTCGCCAAAGAGTTATTCCCTGAAGCGCCACCTAGTTCGGGTATTCCCCAATTAGTATTTTTGGAATTCGCCCAAGATAATTGTGGTTGGTGTGTTGAGAGGTGAGCACCGTGACGAAAGTCGCCTCCGCCAATTCTGGTGTTATAACTATTTAGCGTACTGAATTGTGAACCATTATGTGGAGGAAGAGCAGCATTCTGTTGGATCATGGCGGAAGGCTGTTGAGCTTGCTGTGATGCTGGTTGAAAAGCTTGACCATATTGATACGTATTCCGCTGCGCATTAGGTGACTGTGACTGATGTGGTGTATAATACGGACGGTTCATTTCGTAAATTTTTGGTTTTTTTTAATATATATATATAAAATATATTTTATATATATATATTTATACGTAGGAATATTATAGTGGCGTTGTATTTTTTTTTTAAAAAAGTCGTAAAAAAAAAAGGGTATATATCGTTATGAAGTGCGCGGCTTTTCCTTTCCTTCTTTCGCTTTGTTTTTTTTTTTTTTTTTTGTTGGTTTTAATGTTTTTGCTGATAACACTTGAAAGGTAAGTAATAATTTTTGTTTTTTTACTTTAAGTCTATTGTATTGTGTGGAAAAAAAAATTTATTATTATTATTTTTAATATTAATAATATTATATTTTTGTTCTTTCCTTTGGAGTACCGTTAATAAAAAAAATTTTTTAAAACTTGAACTATGTGTTGTAGTTTATTTTTTTTTTTTTAAAAAAAAAATACATATATATATAAAGTAATCTTTTTATTAGTTAATAAAAAAAATAAATTCTGTGACTCACTTTTTTCACATTTATTTTACCGAATAACTAACCGGAACTAAATACGATGCACAGTATTTTTGTTGTTTAGTTCAGTTTTTTTTATTATTATTTAAAAAAAAAAAGTGTGGGTGGATTTTTTTTTTAACTTGTACTGTATTTTTATTTAAAATTTTAAATTTTTTTTTTTTTTTTTTTTGGGGAGGAAAAATAAAAATACAAGTACTGTATGAAAATTTTTGGAGAAGGAAAGTTTGAAGTGGTGTTATTATATGTGTTTGAGATTGAGGGCAAAAAAAAAAAAAAAAAAAAAAAAAAAAATAAATGCGATACAATAAAAATAAATAAGGGGGGTGGGGTGTGTGAGTAAGTTACTCATTTTAACTAAAGTCATACAAAGGAGGCGTTAATATTTTTTTTTTAATGTAAATGATATGTTGTAAAACGATCAAAAAAAAAAAAAGAGAACAAAAAAAAAAAAGTGTTGACGATCCAACACATTACTGATAAAAGATAAAGTAAACACAACACACACATATATACATAAATTAAAAAAAAAAATTAAACAGCAATGAGGCTAAGGTTGATACCATACTTGTAGTATGTTGGATGATGTAGGAGAACAACAATAAAGCCGTTGCTTTTTCCTTTTCAGAAACCAAAGTATTCTAAAAAAAGCAAAATGAAATTTTTTAATTTTAACATTTGACCAAAATCTTAGCGTTGTACAACTTAAAAACGGGAATTCACAATCGGACCTTTAAGTCAGTTCATGGTTGTTATTCATCATGTGTCATGTTACAATCTATTGTCATACTATTTTTAATGATTACCAAGTTATACGCTGCGCCCTAATTCCTATTCAAACATTTAAAATTTTTTTATATGCATTTATCTTCAAGCAAAATTACCCCATATAATGAAAATGGTTTCAATTGGATTTTCAAATTTGACCTTTTTCTCTTTTTTAATGAACGATATTGATTTCCGACAAATATTTGATCGAAAAAAATTTTGAATTTACCCAAGAGAAAAAAAAAAGGTTAAAAAAAGGGTTTAATGTTTTAAGGTTGCATAATCTGATGATAAAAATAAAAGCGAAATCATTTTTAAAATACCCAAATCCTCGGTTTTTAACAAACAAATCAATTACTATGTGAACGTCTTTTTTGAATTAAAATTTTCAAAATATTTAAGTATTAAATGAACGACGGGACTAAAATAAAAACGTTCTATTACCATTACCACAAAAAAAAAAAATATACGCTTGATGTATGTGTAAAGAAAAACCCTTTATGCAGGTGCTGCGGAAAGTTTCAATGTTAACGAACAAAGTTCTAGGTTACCCCACATTTTTTTCTCGTTATAATAAAATGCAGGTAATTTTTTTTATTGGAGAGGTTACAATAATTTTTAATACCCTTTCACACGTGGCTATTGGGAGGGAAATCAACAATTCTTTTTCGGTCATTCCCGGTGGAAAGTGTTTCAATGTTTATCTATTCTCAATTAGTCTTTGAATGATTATTAGTAAATTGATTAAGCCAATTTACTTTTTTGATCAAACACTTGTTTGGTTGTTATTCATCCTTTTCAATCAATTCAAACAACCAACCAACCAAACAAGCAACAAAGCAGCCAACCATTTTCACTTGTGTAAACCAATAATAAATAAAAATAAATAAACCTTTGAACGAGATGCATACTGCGTATCCCTTTTTTATACAAATCTTCCTCACGTGATAATTATGCCAATTTTTGTCCTTAAAATTAGATCATCGATGTACACTCTAAAAAAAAAATATACATGGGTATGAGATATACCCCAATTCCGAAGTTAGGATAAATCTGTGCTTTGCCCGAATTATCAAATGTCTCCGAACTAATGAATTTGCTACATTAATGATCTTTAAATACATTTTCTTTTTCAGGTAATTAAATTAAATTAAATAAATTAAAATTGTCAAAATACTTGACACAAATCTAAAAGGGATTGGGTGAAAATTTAGAAATATAAATAATGCCGAAATGCCCTCCTCCATAAAACAAAAAAAAAAGGAAAAAGAATCTCTCATTATCATGACTTCTAACGAATTATCAATCACTTTGCCAACCGGGAAATCTACCAAAAGTAAATATTCATCCAATTAATTTTTTCTTTCCTTTTCGTGAATATTATCTTTTAACGTGAGAAATTACAGTCTACACGGGTCTATTCATTAATAATGAATTCGTCGATGGAATTGATGGAAAACGGTTTGAAGTGATTAACCCTTCAACAGGGAAACCAATCACAACTGTTGCAGAAGCGTTTGCAAACGATGTTGATAAGGCAGTTGAAGCTGCTACTGAAGCATTTAATAAAGTATGGAAAAATGTCCAAGCATCAGAACGTGGTCGCTTGCTTTATAAATTAGCCGATTTGATTGAACGTGACCGTGAAGAGATCGCTGCTATTGAATCTCTTGACAACGGTAAAGCTTTTTCCATCGCTAAAGCTAATGATCTCCAAACTGCCATCGATACCTACAGATACTTTGCCGGTTTTGCTGATAAAATTCATGGCAAGGTATATGAATATCTTGAATATCTTGGGTGAAAGTTTCCCTTTTGATAATTTTAATAAAAATTTCACTTTGCATTTGTCTGAAAATCCCTAAAGACAATGGACAATGATCCTATGAAATTTAGTTACACGCGTCGTGAACCTTTTGGAGTTTGCGGTGCTATTATTCCATGGAATTTCCCTGTCGCAATGCAATCTTGGAAATTGGCTCCGGCTCTAGCATGTGGAAATACGATTATATTAAAAACTTCTGAAAATACTCCATTAAGTGCTTTAAAAGTTGCTTCTTTAGTTAAAGAAGCTGGTTTCCCAAAAGGCGTTGTAAACATCATATCGGGATACGGTAAAACTGCTGGTGTCGCTATTGCATCTCATATGAAAATTCATAAAATTGCTTTTACTGGTATGGATACAATATCGTGTCGATTTATCCACTTTTTTTATTTTTTACTTTTTTTTTTTACGCGTTTAAATGTAAATTTATGTAGGTTCTACCGCGGTCGGTAGACAAATTCTAAAGACATCCGCAGATTCCAATTTAAAGAGTGTCACGTTAGAATTGGGAGGAAAATCCCCAAATATTATTTTAGCTGATGCAAATCTTGAAGAGGCAGTTAAATGGTCACATATGGGAATTTTTTATAATCATGGTCAATGTTGTGGCGCCGGTTCACGCATTTATGTACAAGATTCCATTTATGATAAATTTTTGGAACAATTTAAGGTTCTTTCTGAACACATTAACCTTGGTGATCCTTTTAAAGAAGACACTCATCAAGGTCCTCAGATTTCTCAAATTCAATTTGATAGGTAGGAAATCAACAAGGGAGTAACTATTTTCTTAAATAATAAAAAGATTAAACGTAATTTTTTAATCTTTTCATAGAATTATGTCTTATGTTGAAGCTGGAAAAAAAGAAGGAGCAACTTTGTTGATGGGCGGTGAAAGATACGGTAAAGAAGGATACTTTATCAAACCAACCATCTTCACAGAAGTGGTAAATAAATTTTATCTTTCACCGTCTTTTTGCCATGTTTCTCGTTTTATAATTTTCAATTTCAATTGTTAGAATGAAACGATGACTATCATGCAAGACGAAATTTTTGGTCCTGTGGCAGCAATAGCGAAATTTTCTACCGTTGAAGAAGTTATTGAAAAGGCCAATTCATCCAGATATGGTTTAGCTGCTGCAGTCTTTACTCAAGATATTACACGTGCTATGCAGATATCTAACGAGTTAAATACTGGAACTGTTTGGGGTATGTCAACCTCCTTTTGGTTAAAAGGTTAATTCAATATTTCCTTTGTTGTAAAATTTAATCTGACATTTCCACAATGTAGTGAATTGTTACAATATATATGACCCTTACACGTAAGTCATTACTTTTGTTGATTCGTGTAAAAAAATTTTTATAAAGCGCGTCTTTCACGCTAATCACGTGTATTCAACTCGAACAGTTCATTCGGAGGATACAAAGAATCGGGGATAGGCCGTGAAGGAGGTAAATTCATATATATTTATTTTACATTTTATGCAATTCAATCCGTAAAGTTCAGGAATATCTAACCGTTTCTCTTTGAATTCTCGCTAGGAAAATTCGCTCTTGAACAATATACTCAAGTCAAATCTGTACACGTTAATTTGGGAAAAAAGTTGTGAATATCTTAATATTCGCTCAAGATATACCATAATTTAATTGATTATATATGTATTTATTTTTGGCAGGCAGGATAATAAATAAAACTTTACGAAAAAAGTAATGTAAATCCCTTGCTTAACTAAAATTTTTCTAATTCCTATCTTTAAAGGGGAAGTGTTGACTGCGATCCAAAGTATGCTTGTTGAATATTCCGAATCAAAGTTAAATCGTGAATATGCGACCTTTATTGTTAAATCGAGTTCATAAAACCTATCTAAAAGGGTTAAAAAGATGTTTAAAAAAAAAAGAGGTTCGAATAAAAAGTTTTTCCGATTTATGATAATCAAATATATTCGGGTTTCATCGGTTTCATAAAGTCAGCCGAGCGATAATTACATTTGTTATTTGTATTCATTAGGACAAAAATAAAGTTAAAGTTCAAAAATAAAAAAATAAATAAATAAAACCCGTAAAACAGAAGAACTTTGTGTAAACTGTCGAAAGTTTGAGTTTGTACGTGTTTAACTTTTTTGAGCTAGACTGGTCTCGTGAAAAAAAAAAAAAAAAATTTATTATATAGTAAATAAACAAACAAATAATAATTTGAACAAAAAATATTTTAAATCAAAAAAAAAAATTCAAAAAAAAAAAAAAATAAAAAAAAATTATTTTGCACAATAAACATGGTAAAGTTTTTTGTTTTCCTACTTTTCATGATAACTAAACTGATATTTTACTGACGCGATTTATACTGTTTTGTCAACTTTGCCGCGGCAACTTTGACGGGAACCAAATATTGAACGTCGTGGATTTTATTATTTTTAATAAATTAGTCCATTGAAAACATCTCGCCTTTTGTAATAAAGAGGATCTCAAAGGAGTTGAATGCTCTTATAGCACAACCCCCAGAAGGAATTAGAGTCATAGTGAACGAATTAGACGTCTGTGACGTTCAAGCTTGGATCTTGGGACCTGGTAAATTATTTTACTTCAAAGTTCGGTTTTAAATTCAACCTAGAAAATTAAAAGTAGAATGGATAAACTTTAGAAATTAATATAGGATTTAATTAGACTATGGTCGAGGATTTACATATTATTTTTTTTAATCTGTAGTATTCTTAATTTTTCTTAATAAATGATAAAATTTTAGAGAGTACACCGTATGAAGGGGGACATTTTAAAGTAAAGTTGGCTTTGGGCGCCGATTTCCCTGCAGTACCACCAAAATGTAAGTTTATTTTTTATTTTTTTATTTCTTTTAATATGCATACATTTTAATTTTTCGTAAAATATTAGGTTATTTCATTACAAAAATATTTCATCCTAATGTATCAAAATGTGGAGAGGTTTGTGTTAATACCCTAAAGAAAGATTGGAACAAAGATTCAGGAATTGAACGTATCTTGCTGGTAAGCATTGATAGTTATAATCCTTATGTCTTTGTTCCTGTATAATTTAGGTTAACTTCTTAATAATTATGATGATGAAAGACTGTCAAATGTCTTTTGATCGTTCCTAACCCTGAATCAGCACTTAATGAAGAAGCAGGCAAGCTTCTTTTAGAAAACTATGAAGATTACGCAAAACATGCTCGAATGATGACAAAAGTACATGCTCAAAATAAAGCAGCAGACTTTTCTTCAATCAATAATAATAATAATAGTTCATCGACAACGCCGACTTCGACCACGACTACTATGACTATTACTACGACCACGACAACTCCTTCTAATAACACCACTTCAACATCATCTCCAAAAAAATTCGTTTCTTCGAAATCTGCTTCTCCGCAAATTACTACTACATCAACAAATACAGCAACTACTACAATGACAACAAATAATTCTACAATCATTTCTTCCTCTGTGAATACTCCAGCTTTAATTACTCCGCTTACTGTATCAAATTCTATGAACGAATCGAAATCTTTAAATGCGATGAATGGTGGTGGTGCTAATAATCATAATCACCTTAAAAAGAACCCGAATTCTTCTATGAATTCGAATGATAATCAATTGTCGTCAAACAATCCTACTGTGACACCAAAGAAAAGAGCTGGTGATAAGAAAATAGATAAAAAACAAGCTGATAAGAAACGTAGTTTGAAGAGGCTCTAAGAAAAGAATAGATATAGATGAAAACACAAATAACTGTTGAATCTATTATTGTTTAATTATATAGATTGAAAGGGACAAAGTATATATATACACATATATATATATTAAAAATTATAGTTCATTTTTTATTCACTATCGTGTGTGTGAAATTTTTATTTTTGGACGTAAACTGCGAACTTTTTTTTTTTTTTTTTTTTTTTTTTTTTTTTTTTTTTTTATAGAAAGAAATATTTATAATGTTAATAGTACGTGATTAATTATTAGGAGGTTGAATTAGAAAAAATTACTGATTGATAAAGATTACTTTGATTTTTTATTCTAAGATTGTTTATAATGTAAATTTTTTAATAAAATTTAATTAATTAATTATAATTGTTTGATTTTTTTTGAACGGAAATAAGAAAAGAAAGTTACAAGCAGATTTATTGTTTAATTTTAATATACTTTGAAAACATTTTTATATTAGTTTAGATATATTTTATATTAATTAATAATAATTATAATCAAAAATCTGAAACTTAATTCGATACAAGAAACTCATGAAAGGTTAATTAAAATAGTAATACTTCGTGATAAAATAACACAAAATCTCCACCTTTTACTCCATTTACGAGAATGCTTATATGATTTCAGCCTGTTATACACTTTCTGGTATTTCTCATTTGAGCGTATAAATGGGATACTTGGTAATTATAGTTTTTTTTTTTGATGATTTAGATAAGTAATGTACTAATAAACTATGGAACAGTGACTGTTGCTAAGACTAGAGCAAGTATAACGCAAGTAACAAATTATGTTTGACTCAATATTTGAGCCTAAAATCATATACATAGTTCTTCACTTATGCTCTGAACTAATAATGAAATACATTAATAATATTTGGATTCATTGCCAAGTAATTATAGGCTCCAGTGATGTGTATTTTATGCTTCCAATAGTAAAAAATTTGATTGTAAGCTTCCAATCCAAATGATTTTATTAGTAAATTATGCTTCCAAACCTTTCAAAAGTGTTTCCAAAGGTGCTTTCAATCTTTCAAGTGCACATCATCATTGATCATAGGCAAATTGAGCCAGAAATAATATGCAGATTAATGAATGATAATCATATTAAAGAAATCAGTAGTTTAATAAATATTTGAATAAAAGATTTAGATTTACCTGATAATCAAACTGTTATTAGTTTATTATTAAAAAATAATGAATATTTATCTGATAAAATTAAGATATTTTGAAATCAATTATTACTAATTACAGTCAAAACTTAATACAATAACACCTTCATAAATATACGCACTTCTAGCCAGCCATGCACATGCACTTATAGAGGGTGTACACTTATAGAGTAGCCAATAGAAAGATAGATTTTATTATACAAATTAAAAATCTGACAAAATTTTAAATTCATTATTTTATTTAAACTTCATGTATTTATTTAATCTCAATAAACTTAACTTTCCTCAACTAAATAATAATGGAAACCCCAACTTCTAGAATCCACCTGAAAATGAAGAAAAGAACAACTTTAGCCTTGACAACCCCAATAACTAACACTTATTTTCCAATGTACAAAAGGCAATATATTTTGCGAAATTATAATAACTTTAATGAAAATATGTGTTAATATCAGTTTGTCGCATTAAGCTTGTCTTTTTGATCCTAAAAATTTTTTCAATCTTTTCCACTAACTTCACATACTCTTCTGCATTATCCTGTTAGAGTAAAAATGTATATACAGTTTCTAAGCTAACAATTACAACACTAGGATTAATAATAGGAATTTCATTGCTATTATCTATTTCATCTAAATCTGTATTCTTCTTGTCAGTATTTTTAAAGAGATATATAAGTTTTCCAATAACTTGATCATCTTTGGGAACTTCATAAATAACATTCTCTCCTTGTATGTTAAGAAACTCTTTTTCTTGTATCAGATGGAAGAAATTAAGGGCTTGAAGTAAATCCGTAATATCACAAAATGTCAAGTTTTTATTTTGACAAATATCTTCTGAAACATTTCTAAAATCTACATTTGCATCTGGAAGAATTTTCATGTGAAGCTAACAGTTATTAATTATTTTGGCATTAACCTCATCTCAGACTTGAATGATAAAACGAATTGCCTATAAGATATCAATATGTAAATTTTCTACATAATTACCTGCTTCTACATATTGCAACATCAAACTTTTAAAAATAAACAGTTAGATTTGAATATTAAAATATATGATAAATCTAATAATTTTACTTACCGTACATGAGAATGACAATAGTGCCTTTTGAAAGACATACTGTATAGCGCTGACATTAGTACCGGGTACTATTCAAGCAAATCTAAGCTTAATTTTGAATAGTACCTGAGGGTACTACATTCAGAGAAAGGTACTACATAAGGGATATTACACAACGGAAATACAATAAAAGGGGAATATTAATCATAATCGTCAATCATCTTTTTTTACTTTCAAATTTTTAAATTTTTAACATTCCTTTGAAATAAAGCCATAATATGTTATATGATATGAATGACACGAATTTCGCGAATGATGCAAATTTCGCAGATAACGCAATCAGAATTTTATTAATTTTAATTTTGGTCTTTTTTTTCAACTTTAAACCTTTTTTTTGGTTTTTTTTTATCCTTATAATCACAACATAAATTTGCTATTTCTTTATAATTTTGTCATAAGTAATATGAGTCCGCGCGCAAATAAAAATACCAACTATACAAGAATATCAGAAAAAGTACGAAGTGTATGGAATGTAAGAGAAAAACTTGTTGTTGTTATGTATCATGAAAAGGGACATAGTAAAAATGGAACAGCAGCTAAATTTAATATTGAAACCAAACAAGTTTGCGACTAGGTATCTAAAAAAGAACAATTTATGAAAGCACAACCTAGTTTAAAACGTTTAAATAAAGGTAAACCTCCAAAATATTCAGCTTTAGAGGTAGCTTTAGTTGAGTGGATAAAGAAAAGAAGAAGTAACTAGCAAGCAGTTTTTCGAAATATGATTCAAGTAAAAGCAAAAACTTTAGCACAACAATCACAATGGCAAGCATCCTGTCCTAATGTACAATCTTTTGCTTTTAGTAATAAATGGTTGGATGGTTTAATGAGCCGTAACAACTTAAGTAATCGTCATCATACTACCATCGCTCAGCATTTACCAAACAATTTATATGAAAAACAACAAGAATTTTTAGCATTTGTTATGTATAGGCGAATACAACATGATTATCCCTTAGCATTTATTGGTAATATGGATGAAACTCCATTGACATTTGATTTACCAAATAATA